ATGATAGGTTTATTTTTTGTGAGTGTAAAACACAAGTATACCATTTCAATAAAGCTTCATATTTTGTTTATACTGATCAGTTCAAAATTCTAAAACACTAACGTTCAATGTTATTTTTTAATATTCAATTAAAGTACTTTCTAATTTTATCAAAATTTAATTGTGTTACTGTCTCAATAACATTTTAGCTTAGGACAAAATTAATATTTTGATACCTCAGTAACAAAATATTTCACTCAAGTCTTAAGACTCTGAAATTACAGATTGTAAGTCTTAAGACTCTGAAATTACAGATTGTTTAACATTTATACTAAATGTTTTATAAAGACCCAATAATATGAGGAAGAAAGAAAAGAGATTGTGTATCATTATCTATGTCTTGAAACAGTTTTTCAAAAAAAAACAATGAATAAAATGCACAAACTTTAATTTTTTTTAGTTTTAAAGCTAATTTCAAGATAACTCTAACAAATTAAAAGGTTTTCTAAATTCTGCACTTGATTTAAAAAAAAGAATGTTCATATCAAAGTTTTTTTGTTTGTTTTTTCATACTTACCAAGAGGACTGATGCTACTTGGTTGATTTTCACCTAAATGGTACTCTGGCTGGGTTAGACTTGTTTCTTGATCTTGTTGATGAGGCCTAGTAAGAACATCTGCTTTGTAAAATTTGTCTTGTTGAGCTGACTTGTCCACATTTATATGCTGATCTGGTTGTGGTTTGTGTTGTTCTGATTGGTCTTCCTTGAAATGTTGATCTGGTTGATTAATTCTGGATTGGTTAGTTGGTTGATAAGTTTTAGTATTCTGATTAAGTTTGGAATGGTGATCTGGTTGGTTAGATTTCACATGCTGGTTTGGTTGACTTATGCTTATGTTCTGATCCAGTTCATTAAATTTGTCCTCTTGATTTGGTTGGCTTGATTGGTGTAATTTTCCACTGTTATCTGGCTGTTTATGCCTGCTAGGTTGTTCTGATTGGTTATGCCTGCCATTTTGGTTTGGTTGGTTTTGTCTAATGTGATGCTCTGGTTGATTTAACCTAGCTGGAAGATGTGTGGGGTTTGCAGGATAGTTTAACTGGCTTAAAATACCATTTTGATCTGGTTGGTTTGATCTACCATAACAGTTTTGATTTAATTTTTCTTTTTCATCTAATTGGTTTTGTCTGCCATGAAGATTTGAATAATGTAATCTTTCATTTTGATCTGGTTTGTCAGGTCTTGCATGATTTGGTGAACTTATCCTTCTACTTAACTCTGGTTGAATACGTTTACCACGTTGGTCTAAAAGGCAAATCTGTTGCTTTGGTTGACTTAGTGTGACTTGGTTGTCATGTTGATTTAATCTAGGCTGATTTAGTCTGATACGTTGACTTGGCCAGCTCAATAAGTTTTGATAATGTAAATTATTTCGATCAGACAAGCTTGCTTGATTTATTCTAACATGTTCAGACTGAATCTGCTGCTCATGGTTCTGTGGGTTCAATCTAGCATGTTGATCTTTCTGATTAAGAACAGCTTGATCTATATAATTCAGTCTTCCTTGTAAATCTCGTTGTTGAAGAGTGAGGTACAATGGAGTTTGCCGGTCACGATGGTTAACTCGAACCTGATGATCTTGGTTTGCTAGCTTATACACATTTGTAGGTAGAGTGGAATTTAACAAGGAATCATTTTGAACAACACCAGAGTGGCTAACCACAGTGCGTTCAGGTTTTTGCTGAAAATATTACATATTTTATTACAATTTATTTTTATCATTATAGTAAAGTCTGAGAGAATAATCTTAACTAACAATAAAAATTGAAACATGCATTAACTGGTGATTGGACTTCAATATTTATCTCTGATAAAAATACTGAAATCAGAAAACATTTGATACATTTTTGTTTCACAAATTTTTTTTAATGAGTAATTATCATTAAGTAACAATAATCATACATAACTTCCAGCATATTAATCACTTCATATTCTTGAAAAGTGAATGTAAAGAACAAAGCAACTTGGCCAGCATGTTTATAACACCTGAAAGAATCAGGCTCAAGCAATTATTTTTAGCCAGAATATATCAAGATATTAACAATTTTTACACTGTAATAGAAGATCTTCTAAACCTGGCCAACTAGTTTCAAATTATCTTGAGTTAGTTTGTTTTAACACAAAGTTACAATGGGCTATCTGCACTCTGCCCATCATGGGGAATCAAACCCCAGATTTTTCCTTGTAGAAGCAAGAAAAACTATCAATAGAAACAAACAAAATTGTAGTAGAAGAAAAATATGAACTAAATTAAGGAAGTTAGGTAACAGAAGAATACTACTATGAGAAAGGAGGTAAAGTTTTCTTTATAACCTGTTTTTGGGACAATCCAGAGGCATTACTAGGTACTTAAAAGATTCTGGGCTTTGGTCCATATCCACAAAAAATTTCAATGTTTCAGTATGATATCGATCATGGCTTTATATTCTGATTTTTAAAGACACTAACTGGGGATTTGAAGCACAGGACCCATGTGCCAGTGCCTAGAAAGGCCTCTGGAACAACCATCTCTACCTAAAACAGCTTGAAATCCAAAATAAATCAATGATCTTTGCATATTTTCTCTACTATTTTTGTTAGAATCAAAGTTTCAAAAGTCAAAAATCGTGAAATTAAGCATATTTTTTAGATATCCAAGCCTAATTCACATTTTACAGAAGCAGTGTTAAATGTATAAGCTGGAAACAAGCAAGGAGGCTTTTTAAGAAGCATAAAGGAAATTATTAAAATAACATTTGGTTGCAAATGTTTTGTACATTATTTTGAATTAGTCTATTCAAGACTTAAAATTGAGATGTGTAAAAAGAACATTTCAGACCCATCTTCGATCTGCTCTGAAAGTTTTTTGTTCAACATCATAACTCATCTGGGAGAGATTTAATGCAGACATAAGTCTATCTGAAATGATACTTGTATACAGTACTTGAAACCTAATGTTGGTGTTAAATGGATAAGCCAACCTAAAATAAAGCCTTTTTTCCAGCCTAACAAAAGTAATGAAAATCATGTTTTTTTAGTTATACATAATTAGTTTTTATGCTCTTAAAAAAAAAGTTGAAATAAATAGATATATTTCCTAACTATATTAAAAATTCTCCTTCATCACACACTCACAAAAGGGCTAGTAGTATTACATACTGAGTTTAAAAAATATTATACTACCAAATTAGGGACGAACAATGGCTATTATACATCATATACATGTGCAGGTGCACGTTGTGTTAAATGATCAAAAATGGCAACACTAGTACATGTAACTAGGACTGGTTATTTATATGCTATGTGATATCTTCACAAGTACAACACAGGAGCAACAAGTATCATAGGCCAAGTGGATTCTTTTCCAACAGCAGTGTCTGCTTTCTCAAATGGATTGAAGATCTGTACCAAGGATATCAGTTTGGAACATCACGCATGCCTGTCTTGAAAGTATGGGTGCACTGTTGAAATGTTATAGGTATTTTTAAAGAAAAACTCTACTTGCAGTTCTGTCTTTGTACAAGTGCAATAAAACAAGGTTTCACAATCTCAGAAAGATGTTGAAGACAAATAAGAAACTGAATGATCAAGTGGAAAAGCTTACCTACAAAAACCAAACTGACTTAAGAAGCCAGTAAGAAAATGTAATAAAAAGAAAATTAATTTGACCATTTCCAAATACATTTATCAATTATTATAAAAAAAACAAAGAGGTATTTATACCTGAGAAATTTCTGTTGTATTTACATAATGCCTTTCCCATCTGCTTGTAGTTTCTGGCTTCCTCATAACACCAAGTTCATGGGAACTGGAGGAATCGAGGTCTGTTTCCATGTATGCACTGCGGTGTTTTCTCTTTGGAGGTAGAGTAGCAGAGCCTGATGAAACAGAAATAAAAAAAAATTTTAGTTGGTGTAACATCAATTGAAAAAATAACTTACCAAGAAGGAAAGCGAAAAACATACTGTTGTATGTGACAACATTTATCAAAATCTTTATAAAGCATACAAATAAAAGCTATAAAAGAATGACCATTAAAAGATTTTTTGGAACACAACAATAGAATAATAAATCTGGAGTAGAAAACACCATGCATAACATGAGTCCTCAAACTGATAATTCACAGAAGCTCAAATTTTTGATTCAGCATATTCTGGATGCCCCACTTGGTTTTTCATAAATCTAGCATAATTCTTGAGTAGAATAATGCAACTCTCACTTTTAAAGTCAAATAGAGAAATACAATACTGTGAATCATTATTTATAAACTTTTCCTTATAAATATCATGTCTACAGATTTAGGTTTTTCATCCACAAAGGTTAGGTATATTATAAAATTAATTTGGAGTCTAGTCACATTGTTACAATACATGTTAGCATTTCTGGTCATGATCTATTTGACAACTGTGCATCTTAAAAATAACTCTGTTACATGGGTTTCATTGCAAATGACTCTTTGAAAAAGCTGTCATATTCAAGAACACAAACCTTCCCGCAGCTTTCTATGATCCATCTAGTGTACAAGAATGATAGTTTCCGAGCATCTGTTTCAACAGCCTGGTTGCAAAAAATTCATTGGCACTACATCTAGTGACTTGACCAATAGTATACTCCATATAGTATAGTATGAATATCCATTTCATTCTTGCTGTGCTAGAAGCATGCAACAGTTGAATTAATATGTCATGGAAGCAATTTGTGTATATGTGGCTAGGGTCACTTTCCAAGCAGAGACATGTCTTTATTTTCTCAGGTATTGTAGTTTGGAGCATGTGATTGGCTTTTGACACAGACCTTTGTGTTCTTAGATCCTCACCTTTACAAGGTGTCTCATTTTCTCACCATGGATGGAGTACGACTTGCTGCAGTTCTCTTTCTGGATAGTTCTAATGCCACAAGTTTAACCACATTCCTTTGGTTTTCAATGCCATTAAGTATAAGAGATATCCCAATCCAAGTCCCCTGAATACATCTCTACAATCTGAATGTATGAATATTTTGTGTCAATAAGAGGTGTTACATACCTTTCCCAAAGTGATTGATTTTAGGTAGCACCAAACTATCTATGAAACACCAAGCAATGTAAATTCGATGATGAGGAACTCACTCTGAGACTAAATAATGCTGATGATGACAAAACCTTGTTGAAACGTTGTACATTTGCTGTTATGTTAAACTTATATTAAAGTTTTTCTTCATTACCCATTCAAGCCATCTCCAAGGATTACCAAACAATGTAGTTCTGATACATGCCATTCCACCACGATATTACATCAGCTGTGGTTGTCAAGTGGCATGCTGATTTGCATATTCAAGACTGTTTTGATATAATGTACTCAACTCTGTATCTTCAGCTCTACTCTATGCAGTTGTAAGTTTAGGAAAGTCTATACAGCAAATGAGTTTATAATGGGGGTTCACTTTTATGTCCTGCAATAACAGCTATATATATATATATATGTCTATCGAAATGTCTTTTTAATGTAACCATTAAAAACCATAAGAACAACTAGTAGGGATATTTAAAAAGGATTTAGTAACATTGTCTCTTGTCTTGTTATTAGCTTTACAATAAATCCTCGAACTACAAGCTTGTTTGGTAATGTGGACAGACAATGTTTTATCTTTTTAAATCCCTCAAAATTCTGATTCTGGGATGAGATTATAACATTAGTACATAATTTATTTAAAATATGTTAATTACTTCTTGTCCTAGATAAGACCTTGTGATTTTCAGAACTACAACCGAGCAGCAATATTCCCATCTATCACTTTAATGCAAGCTACTTAATGTCACTAAGTACTTTAAAGTTTACAAAGGAGCATGAAAGTAAAATTATAAGTCAGTATCAATAATTAAGTTCATAACATTCAATATGCTCCACTTGATAGTTTTACAATTAAAAGAATTAGGTATTACACACCTATAACCCCCGATGCCCCTTCTCTCACTTTCTGAATGCTGGGTAGCTGTTTATGTTTGGATTTGATCTTCAATGTTTCAATGACGTTGCTGATTTCTTGACGACGTTTGGACAAACTTTCCAAAAAGTTTTGAACCCTCAGAAGTTCAGTTTCTAAATCTGCTTTAGATATTGATGACATTTCCTAAAATATAATATATAAATGTGGCATAGAATCATTATTTAAGAACATTTTTTTTTAGTTAAAAATTTATGTTAATAGAAAATACTAACTTTTAATATATATATAATAAAACTATATTTTCAATGTGATTAAATTATAGGACTTTCATGCCATTTCTATTATAAAATTTGCACAAGGACTTCAAATAGTCTGATTTTTCTGCCTTCTTAGTAAAGTAAAGATATATAAATATTTATACACTTTTGTAGCTGAATATAAGCTTGCTTTATATTTTTCTTACTAGAATTTTCTAAGGGAAACTCTTTCTGGCATTAATTAAAATTATTTAAGAACCATAGCTAGTTATAGTATGCTTAATTAAGACAGTTCTAATTTGTCTGAATGTATCTGAAGGCAAGGTGAAGTGGTATTTGAGCCTTTATATCCAACAAATTGTATTTCTAAAATACATTAAGTTTTGTCTTAAAGGATCTGAGAGCCAAATGATGTATTATTTGAGCCTGTGTATTCAACAAATTGTATTTTGAAAATAGCTTAAGTATTTTGTTTTTGGCTTTCAAACACTTTTACAAACTGAGTCTTTCAAATTTTAGATAAATGATCCATCAATGCAGAGCATTTTTAAATAAAACAAATGATTGTTTGCAAATATTTCTTTTCTTCACCAAAGAAAAGAAAACTTCACAAATATATTACTAACTAATCCACTGAATAATAATGAACAATAATTGGGACAGTATAGTCACATGTTATTCAAACACCTAAGGTATTCTATAGGTTGTTTGTTAATTATATTTTGGAATATAACTGCACCGCCTCAGAAAGACTATAAATTAACATGACCCAACTGGCTTTTATGGGCATTTTTTTACCGCTACTTTAGCCCCTGTTGATGGGTCTTCACCAAATTTGGCATGAAGGTTTGTTGGGTCCATGCAGAGATATATGTAAACTTGTGGTATCACATTTTGTGTTTTGTAGTTTTTATATGTTTTACAATTACATACAAGGGAAGCAACTTTTCATGTCCTAAGATAACCTTTCATTAATCACTAATTTACATAACTTCCATCCAGGGGACAAGTACTCCAGCTAGTTTATAAAATCTTTAAAAAATTATAGTTTAGCATCAATAGTTATTATTTACCAAGATATATACAAAGCACACAATATAGTTCTTATATAGAAAAGATTTTAAGTGTATACAAATAACTTCTCTAAATACTAACTGAAATCTGTTTTTTCTACTACAACTGTCCCTTCACATACCTTAATGGTAAATTTCTATAATAATTAAAACAAGAAGATAAAATTTCTAATTGAAAGAATACAGCAACCATTTTGTTTTGTACATATTTTTATTTCTCTCTCTCTTGATTAAATCACTCTATATGTATTAGGAATCATTTTCATATATAGTTATTATATTAATATGTAGTGTAAAATTACACAGAAAGCAGCTTGCTAAGGAAGATTTCATATAGAACTGGATGTTTAGTGGTATTTTCTAATCACATAATCAATGGTCCCATTAATCAATCAGTACAGTGTGCTTCAATACAATGTATCTACAAACAGTTAACAAATGTAAAAAATACGGTATGCTGCCAGCCAACTGTTTTCCCTCTCTAGTTAGCAAACAAAATGTTGGCAGCAAATGCTCTCAGCCAGTTGCCTTCACTCTACTCAACAGTTGAAGAATAAAAAAATGTTAGTAGTAGCTGCTGCTAGATAGTTGCTTTTCCTCTAGTCAGTAGCTCCAAATCAGTGACAATGGCAGCTAACCTTAGTAGCTTTCCTATAATAGAAACAGCTACCCCCCCTAAAAAAATCTCCAAAGATGAATAAACTTGAAGTACAAAATACAACTTATAAAACTAAAATTGGGCAGAGCACAGATAGGCTATTGTCATGGCATTATGTAGCTTTGTGCTTAATGACAAACAAACTTATTAGCTATATTTTAATTACTTGGATAGTTGAAATAATTGAACATAGTAAAAAATGGAAACCTTGATTTCGATTATTCATTTTCATGACAACTGATTTAATTGTAAATTTGAATAATCAAATATTAGAATGATCATAAACGTTAATTATAATTAATTTATTATTTTTGTGATAATCATCATTTTGATTAATCAATTGTTGGAATAACTGAAAACAGTAATAACTGGAAACACTAATTCTGAATAATCAATTTAATTGTAATTTCAATTAACAGATTAGTTTACATGATACTAATTTATATAATTGCTGCTCATAGGTAATAAATTATATTGATTAAGTTGCCCAGCTCTGGACTTTGTTAGTTATGCATTTATACACTATTGCATATTTTGTATCTCATTAGAATACATTTAAAAATGTGATCTTGATAACAAATGTAAAAAATACGGTATGCTGTCAGCCAACTGTTTTCCCTCTCTAGTTAGCAAACAAAATGTTGGCAGCAAATGCTCTCAGCCAGTTGCCTTCACTCTACTCAACAGTTGAAGAGTAAAAAAATGTTAGTAGTAGCTGCTGCTAGATAGTTGCTTTTCCTCTAGTCAGTAGCTCCAAATCAGTGACAATGGCAGCTAACCTTAGTAGCTTTCCTATAATAGAAACAGCTACCCCCCCTAAAAAAATCTCCAAAGATGAATAAACTTGAAGTACAAAATACAACTTATAAAACTAAAATTGGGCAGAGCACAGATAGGCTATTGTCATGGCATTATGTAGCTTTGTGCTTAATGACAAACAAACTTATTAGCTATATTTAATTACTTGGATAGTTGAAATAATTGAACATAGTAAAAAATGGAAACCTTGATTTCGATTATTCATTTTCATGACAACTGATTTAATTGTAAATTTGAATAATCAAATATTAGAATGATCATAAACGTTAATTATAATTAATTTATTATTTTTGTGATAATCATCATTTTGATTAATCAATTGTTGGAATAACTGAAAACAGTAATAACTGGAAACACTAATTCTGAATAATCAATTTAATTGTAATTTCAATTAACAGATTAGTTTACATGATACTAATTTATATAATTGCTGCTCATAGGTAATAAATTATATTGATTAAGTTGCCCAGCTCTGGACTTTGTTAGTTATGCATTTATACACTATTGCATATTTTGTTTCTCATTAGAATACATTTAAAAATGTGATCTTGATAACATATATATGGATTAACTTCAGAAAACTCTCCCAAGGACCATATTATGCTGAAATCTGTACAAAACTATTTCATTTCAATATTTTAAAGTACATTACCTTTCTTCTGTGGCTGGCAGTTAAAGCATGTTGTATCTTCTGTCTGAGAACTAGGATTTTGTGCTCTACTTTACAAACTTCTGAGGTTCTCTCCTCAAGTCTCTGTGATAAAAGTATAAAATTAATTTGTTCACTGTAATTTTAAACAAAAAGGAATGGCTGTAGCAATAATGTAAACTTCTCATATTTTTCCTATACAATACTAGTCATTCACTAATCCTTTTTTTTTCAAGGTTTATATGTATAAATCTTCTATATAAAAGCTTAAACTCCTACAAAGAGGTGTACATAATGTATCCTTGCTAGTGCTGAATAGAAGTTTTAACTTAAAACACTAATTTAACAGAGAAAAAACGTCGCACATCAGAATAAATGTATGTCTCGATTGTTTAGTAATAAAGAAACACTTAGAAATGCTACATTTCACTGACAAGTTCTGACCCTGTGGCCAAAGTTCACATTTGCTCATCAGCTTGTAAAAAAAGTATTCTGAACAAACTATAGTTTATTATAAGATCCACAGTTTAGCATGCTTGCCACTGGGTAATGCATAGCCCTTATTTGATACAGATTATGAGATTATAGTTAATTGTTTATAGAGGTTACTTTCATTGGATGTTAACATTTTCCTACATTGAAAAAGTATTTCCAACAAATACTTATCTAATAGCTTTCCTCTATTTGTGCTGCCCTTTAAAGGCACAATTTTTGCTCACCACTAGCCATGATGTTCTCACCTAACATCATGTGTTTACAAGTGGTATAGCTGCATTGTAACATTCAAATGAGCATGCGACAAACCCCCACCAATAAGAATGTGACACACCATCCTAGCCCTGCTGAGTCCCTCTATTCTGTAACATACAATCATCGGTTTGAGATTATGCAAGAAAAGATGCACCAGAAGTGCAGAGGATGGGTAGGAAGTTTAAGTGGAGGTAAGCATCTTTCGGAAATATATTTTCATTGAAGGAAAATGTTAACTTCCAATATGATACCTTACCTCTTCTCACATAATAGCTTGAATCCCACATTGAAAAAGTGGAGAGACCAGTGCAAAAGTTACCTAGATGAGCACTCTTCAGAAGGAACCCATGGAGTGAAATACCTTAATGTATAGGGTCACACTCATGGGAGATCCCACCCCATCTGTACCAGATATATTCTTTGCCCATTGGAAAGATAATATGTTGCAAAATTAAGCAGAAAAGACAACAGTCCAATCAGTAATAGGATATGCCAGATAGTGTAGAGTGGCTAGGGTGTATCAGACCATAATTGGTGGGTCATATCCAGCAGCATCTGGTTCGCAGTAGGAGGAAGATCCCAGCTGTCTTCACCTCAAGCCCAGAAAGCAGAAGGAAAAAGCAATTTCCATTCAGGCAACCCAGGCAGGGCACACGTGTGCAGACCCAATAAACAACTAACACCAGGCCACCCGGGAACCTGATATCCAGGCAATAGTAGGAAGGGGGAATGTAAATGTGGTGGGTCAATTCAAGTCCAAAACCAGGCAGCATCAGGAATTTTTTGTCCAGTCCATGGTAGGAGGAGGGCCCTACTAACAACATATGTGAGGCAGCATCAGGAATTAGTCTTTTGGTTTGCAGTAGGAGGAGAGTACTTACCATCTACACTGACAGAACAGTACCACCCTACTCTTAACTGAGTGGTCACACTCAGGAGGAAGCCTCCATGGTCCACCCCCCTAGCAGCTTGGAACTGGTAAGTGGCAAGTTCTTCTGTACTCCACTGGAAGAGGGGGGGAACAATGCAGTGGGAAGCCTGGAGGAATGTAACCCCATAAGACAGTGCAGTGTGCTCACAAAAACTCTATTTTGAAAAGTAAGCCAGTCCCAGTTTATTCAAGTAGGACTGAAGGGATGGGCACTACTCTTCTCACAATAGTTCATAAGTTGGTAAAGTCTAGTACATGCCTTATTTATGAAGCAAGATACTGTGAGGAACCCTCTAGTGGTCTTGTGGAACACCCCATCTCATCAGTGAGTGTTACAGACCTGTAAGATCACATGATACAGATTTAAAGTTAAGTATACCTAGACAGGCACCACTCACCACTGAGTGGGATCCAGAGATGTAGAAATAGACCACTGTAAAGGTAAGATATATAAAAAGAGAATGTACCCATTCAGAGTTGGTAAGGGATCTGTAGAATGGCAATAAGAGAAAGTTTATATCCAGAAGATGAAGAATGTGTGTGACAAAAGTAAGTGGGATAGTCCACACACCAGTTTGCATGAACTCCTATTACAGATGATGGAAGTAAAGAGTTGGAGAGAGAGAATAAGGTGTTGTATTTAGTGAGACCAGTCCTAACGGAATGCTTTCTCAGCTAAAGCTGAGAGAAGAGGAACAGAGGACCAGAAAAGGGAGAAATAGGGAGTTGTGAAGAGTAGCAAAAACATCAAGAAGAAGAGTGTCCAGATGAGAGCACAGCATCTTGAACACCAGAGGGACGAGGGACCAATCCAATGGTAGTATCTTGGCAAGCCTCAAGAGATGACCGACGACAAGACTCAGGGCACTCAGAATAGAATAAGCTATAAGACATACTTGTAGAGAATGATCCAGAAAAGGAGGCCAATAGTGTGGAAACAAGAAAAGCGAGACAAATTGTATTCCCATGATGTTTGATAAAGGAGAAAACTGCAGAGCTGAATGTATGTATCATTAAGAAATGTTGATGAACCAACCTAAAAAACAAATATTCGATATATTGCCAAAAGTTCTATGAGATGGATTTCAAGAAATGATATGTTATGGTACCAATGACCTGAATTCATGTGAGAGTTGAGAAATATCTCCCATCTTGTGAAGTTGGCAACTGGAAACAGAAGGAGACATGAGGAAGAGGAATACCCACTTTGGGAGTAATTTTAACAAGACACTAGGTGAGGTATTTGAGTAAGAAAGGAGGTAGGAGAATGACTGAGGACAAGGGATCCCAAGAAAGGATCCACAGAATGTACAGCCCATTGTAGACATCACAAATGAGCATGACCCACAGGGATATGGAATTCTATGGAAGCCCAAATCCCCAAAAGAGAGAGAGAACCTCCCGTATAGTGAAGGAACGATAAGATATGGCATGGGAAACCAATAGCTCCATATCCATAAAAAGAAGAATAGAAAGCTAGGCCTTGCAGACATATAAACAAAACAAAAACCCAAATGGATGAGAATCGAAATGGGTGTGACATGTCACTCCTCCAAGTTCAAACAACCAGCCCAGACTCACTGCCTCCCAAAGGATGAGAAGAAGGTGGCTGTAGGAGGCTTGTTGGGGCAGAGCCAAACGAGAAAAGAAGCATCTAAAATGTCCACCTCGATCATCCAAAAACCTGGGTGAAAGACCACCATAGGGTGATAAATTCCCCATGGGAAAGCGAGGGAAGATGAGAAACAGACTGAGATATGAAAGATGTAAGACTCAACACCTATCTACAGGTTTCTTGGGAACCACGAAAAGATGGAATGAAAAACCTGAAAAAGTATGAGGACCAACAGTGCCAAGAAACAAGATCCACTGGAGGATGTAAAATAATGGGAACGGGAGACATTGGAGGAGGAGAGAAAAAAATGAAAAAAATCCCAGTATATAACAATTGGCCACAAACGGAGGACAAAGGTCCATAAACCCAATGAAACAGGCCAAGACTGACAGCACCAAAATCTATGAGTGGTGGAAGGATGGATGGGAAGAGGAATTGGAAGTGGTAACAGAAAGAGAAGAGGAAGCAGGAAGAAAGGAGACAGAGTGGAAAAGAAGGAGCATGGGAGAAACAGTAAACTAGTGAGGACAAGATATAACATTGACATGCAACCCCAATATATGACCCCAGAGATACAAGCATACCAGTAAAATCATATAAGCAGATAAAAGGGGCAGAATAAGGCATATGAGATATAAAGGAGGCAAGAACAATTGAATAATAAGGGCATCCTGCCCCAGCAAACTCTAGCAAAAGATCAACCAAATGAGAAGTGAAAATGCCACTGTAGAAAAGATAATGGAATGAATTTCCATCCAAATCCCCACAGTGGAATGGTGGATTACCATGGAAAGAAGGTTAAAGAAAGCAAAACAATGGAAAGGGTACTGTGTGTGTAAGATGAAGGTAAAAAAAAAACTGAGCCTAAGAAAGATGAAGATGAACAGAAGACAGAGGATCTGATCTTCAAATCTGAAGAATGAATAAGTGAGAACGAGGCATGTATGTCCTAAAGTAGTGGTAAAAATAATTTAATATGTAAAAGACATACCTGGGAAACCTAACCATGAAAGAAGACTGAGGTAAATTCAAGACAATATGGGTATAAGATGAGGCAGAGGTAAATGGGAAAATACGGCAAAATCTCTTCCGTCATGAATGAAAAACATAGACAGGGGCATGTCAGGGACAAAAGAAGGTTAAGGCTGTATGAAAGACTCCACCACCTGCTACAAAAAAGCTGTCACATAACCCAGCAGACAAAGACAAACCCAACACCAATATCGTTGGTAGGCTAGTATCAATAAAGGTGTTTTGTTTCACTTCAGACAAAATGGAAGTTAATGACACTAGTGAAACAGTGTCTTCATAGATATACCACTGAAAAACGTCTAAATCTGAAAAGTTCATAAGCGAAAAAGGTGAAGATTGTGCTTTACAGTATAGAGGGAGTCAGCTGTACTAAGAGGGTGTGTCACACTCCTATTGGTGGAAGTTTGTAGCATGCTCATTTGCATACTACAATGCAGCTATACCACATGTAAACACATGATGATTGGTGGGAGCCTCAAGGCTAGTGGTGTGTGACAATTGTGCATATAGAGTGTAGCACAAGTCAAAGAAATCTATTATGTGAGAAGTGGTTAGATATATCAGAACTACAATTCTCTGAGTGATCTTTGTGGACAGGTTTTATCAGGTAAGCTTTCTCTGAATGTCTTGAAAGTTGGATGGCATAAACTGGATTGACAAATAATTGGTTAAAGTTACATGGTAACTTTAATCTACAAATAATACTTCACTATATCCTACCATAGCACTTTGTGACAACAGACTGCGAATGTGAGATAACTCTTTTTCAATAAGACGTTGTTGTTTTCGAAGTTTTTCCATCTCGACTGGGCTATCCCAGTTCCGCTCATTCAGTTTCTCTTGTACTGTATTCAAAGCCTGTTCTAACATTTCCTGACAAAAGTAAAAATAAGAAATAAAAAAAAAATATAATAATTAGATAAGCAGTATATTTTTATTGCATATACAATAAAGCACATGTGAGTAACAAATTTACATTAAATAGCAAATCTCCCAAATAAAATGCTTATGCAGCTATCCATAAACTACAGCATACATGTAAATACAATTACTAATTCTGTATTATTATTAATTTTCTGTTGAAATAGAAAATCGGATTAAAGCATTTTTATAATAAAAGCTTATACTATTATATAAATCCTTTTCCAAATATTGCTTTGCAAATTTCTATTTTTATTTGTCAGGTTTCTATAATATGGGCTGGGATTCTTTACAGTAAGTGTCTGTGACATTTTGGTGATGAAGTTCAACAATAAATGGACAGCACACAATACACTTGTTTTAGAATAATATATTCAAAAGAAGTCAAATGTATGTACAAAAAAAAATCGTTACATTACTGGTTATCATAGTTGTTATCCAAAGCTTTAAATAACTGTCTCTTTTTCATCAAAGTCCACAAAATTCAATTACTTTAGAACACTCTTTGACAAGACAAATTATTTGCCTCTATCATTACAATACAAGCTGTGATGCTTTCACTTTAGAGATCACCACTATATGCTTTTTATGGTTAAACTTACAATCACACTATCTAACTTCACTTTCGTCAATTTTACTTTCACTTACTTGTACTAACTTGGTTGCCTACACACACACACACATATATATATATATATATATATTGCCGACTAAGGCCTAGAACTTTCTACAAACTACGAGACATTATGATGTAACAACACTCATTTAAAACAACAAGAAAACTTCAGAAGGTTCAAGTAATATGATGTCAATTTAAAACAACTGAACTACACAATAAATGATTCGTAAACAGATACGTAATCAAACCTGCAATAAATTATCACTTCTAAAAATACCAACTTTAACACTCAAGTTTTATATCTGTCTAAATTGTAACACTTGTATTAAAGTGAAATAAAACAGTATATATCTAACAATAAGCCCCTCTTTAAAAATATTTACAATATTGTTTTTACACTATATACAAAGACTGTTTTCAGTTCATACACAAAGTTTCCTCATATAGTCTGCACCGTCATTTGCAGTTCCCTTGTTGGTCTCTCATTGCATAGTGTATCTGGTACGTCTTCACTTTGACTAGGTCCCTGGTCATGGTCTCGATCTTTTGTTGCATTGCACAAGGTTTGTCTTGCCTGGTCTATCCGTGAAGACGTCTGCATACTTAGTGCTTTCTTCTGCTTGCCAGTCAGTTCTTCAATGATGTTGACATCTTTGTACATCTCATCTCCAACCAGCAGTTTTAGGTCTAGTAGGCCTTCATCTTCTATGACAAAGTCACTGTCTTCTGGTTTTGCATCTATGATAGCCACACCTGCATTGTCCATCTCTGCCTCAATAGCTGCATCTGTTAGGTCTTCTTCCCTCTCAAAGTACATATTCAACAGATTGGTGTAGTAGATATTGGTGTTCCCATCCACTTTCACCTTATAGTCCATTCTGTTGACCACTTCCTGTACATCAAAAGATCCTTTCCACTGCAGGGTGAGTTTGTTGTTATCTGTAGCTAGCAGAGCCAAGACCTTCTGGCAGACTTTGAAATGTTGATCCTTGGCCTTCTTGTCATAGAAGTGCTTCTGACTGCCTTGAGCTGCATACAAGCTCTTTTGAGTGAGTTGACAGGTCTCCTCCAGTCAGTTTCTGAAGTCTAACACATACTGATATATGTTCCTCACTTCTGACTCTTCTCCTTCTACAGTTCTTTCAATATCTGCATTGGACCTCATATTGTTCTTCTGTACAGTATCTCAAATCCTGTACTTGCTTGTGGGACTTCTCAGTAAGCAAACAATACTGCCTGCAGGTATCTGTCCATAACATTGTCTCTCTTGGCACATCTTCTTCAGTATACTCTTTAAAACTCAAATGATTCCCTCACAAAGTCCATTAAATCTAGGGTTGTATGTGGTGGTAAAAAGCTGCCTACTACTGATGAGTCTGCAAACCTTTTGCATCAATTCTGAGGTAAACTGGGTTCCTCTGTCCCTCAAGACTTCTTTTGGAAAGTCTACTCTGCAGGAGACTTCCAGAAGGGCTTCTGCTACTTTCTCCATCTCTATCTTTGGTAATGCTATGGCTTCTGAATAATGTGTCGCATAGTAGACATATACTAATTGCCCTTGTCAGAAACAGGTGCCAGTAGTGTGATCAAGTCCACAGCTACTCTGCTGAATGGCTCTTCTATGAGAGGATTTTCCTCTAGTAGCCCCTTGGCTACCTTCCCTCTATATATTGTCCTTTGGCAGATGTCATATGACCTGCGGAAGCTGATAACATCTCCGATGACCCCCAGCCAATGGCAGTTGTTGGTGATTCTGTCTGCCATTTTCTTACTTTTAGATATTCTCCCACAATCAACTCATGAGCCAGCTTCATCACTTGAGTCTAGTATTATGTTGGTACCATGTTCTGTTTAAGTTCCCCAGTATAACTAGCTTGATAGATCCCATACAGCACTCACTTACTGTCCTCTGTAAGTCCTTTTCCTCTTTGTCTTGTGCTTAATGCTTGACTTTCTCCTGGACACTGTCCCAAAGTTTCTGCAGTGGATGTTCTTTCTCCTGTGCTTCCTTAAGTTCCTATAAACCTATATTTTGGATGTCACCTTTTGAGACTTGATGTTTTGCTTGCTCTTTTTTTTCTTGAGCTTTTGTGGTGACTGCAGATGACTCATCAGTCTCCTTTGTGTCTAGCTCCTCCAAACCTCTACTGCCTAGTATATTGCCAATCACCAAGTCATAGATGGGTGCCTTCACACACATGACCTCAAGGTCTCCCACGTAATATGGAGTGTCCACCTTTATTCTTGGTATGCAAGACATTCTCACTGTTCCATCAATCAGCACACACGGATGTACCTTACCCATCATCTGGTCATCAGATACTAGAATGGTTCTCATTGCTGCACTCAATGTCTCAAAGAACCTTCACTTTCTTGTCCCCGACATAGTCTTCACTTACTGACATGCGATTTGTTGGAACCTCTTAATGTTTGTCACATGTTCCAATCACTACTGGCAATGTTGATCCATTTGCTAACTTGAGCTCATCATTAGTCATGGACTGTTTTAATCCTGGAAATAGCACTTCATTCTTGTGGTGAATCTGATGGTTTGTCTCTATTCTGTTTCTTCTGGCAGCAGCATCCATGGTGATAGTTACTTCTTTTCTTGTTTCTTACCAGCACCATCTTTATAGGTAGCTCCAGCTGCTTTATGTTGAAATTTCTGCTGTTGGTTGTTGGTGAAGCAGACTTGCACCCATTCACAATGTGCCCCATTTTATAACAAATATAGATTCTCTTCTCCCTTTTATCCATTGAATCACCTTTGGTGGTATCCTGTTTCAGGTCAGCCACCCTGGTTTCAACTTTAACTGGTTATACTTAGAAGTGCAAGTTGTACTCCCTCAATGGGCTTCTATATACTGTTCTGCTAGCTTGATAATCTCATCTATGTCTTTTGGTGCTCTCTCCTGTAGGAATAGTGACATATGTCAGTTGAGCACGTGATCATTAACTGTTTGCATATTAGTAGATCTGCCAGTCCTTCAAAACTATCTTCACACTTGGCCATGTCAGTCCATCTTGTGAAGTATCTCTATAGACATGCTACAAACTGTGAAGTATCTCTAAAGACATGCTATAAACTGTGAAGTATCTCTAAAGACATGCTATAAACTGAAATACAGTTTCTCCTGCATCAGGTTTGACTTCTCAGAACTTTTGATGAAAACTTTCCTTGGTAAGTTCATAGCATTTCAGCAACACCACTTTTAACTTGTTATAGTTAGTCCATGGCATCTTGTGACGTCATGCCCGCATACTCTTGTAGGCCTTTTCCCGTGAGAAGTGGGCTGAGACAGACTGCCCAGTCACCTTTTTTTTTCCAGTATTGACTTTGGTCGAATCTTTTTCATCTCTCCAGGAAAGCATCCATGTCACCTTTCTGTTTATCAACTTTTAGTAGCTTGGGTCAACTGGTCCTGACTACATTGTCATTCTTTGCTCTTCGTCTTTCTGTTGGATGAACTTTATGATCTAAATTTGTGCTCTTATTCTCTCTATTTGCAATCTCTCCTCTCTCTCCCCTTTTTTCTTTCTCAATTTGTGCTCATACTTTCTTATTTGCAGTTTCTCCATTTTTTTATTTCTTGATTTGTGTTCTTATTCTCTTTATTTGTGGTCTTTTCTTTTATTCTTTCTCAATTTATACTCTTACTCTCACTCTCTCTCTATTTTTAGTATCTCCTTTCTCTCCTTCTTTCAGTCTTTCTTCCTCTCTTCTCTCCCCATGCTCTTGTCTCTCTATCCATTTATCAAAATCAGTCGACATGGTTATAGAGCATGATTGTAATTTTTACACTATTTTCACCACCAATACAATTGTGTGTATATAGGCCTACTTCAGCTGTTGTTCACGTCCATTTCTAATGCCGTTTACTGCTGTAGTGTCCTGTCTGGCTCAACAAATGTCAGGTTTTTTTTTATAAGGTCGGATTTTTTACAGTAGGTATCTGTGACTTGTTGACAATAAATTTCAAGAATTTCACAGGCAGTAACCCAGTCATGATGCCAATAATAATACTGTATTGAAGTCCCATAGTACAATAAAGTAATCAATAAACATCAATGCATGACAAACAATGACAGCACATTTAACTTGTTTTAAAATAATATATTAATAACAAGTCAAATTTATGTACAAAAAAAAATTGTTGCACTATTGGTTATCATAGTTGTATTCAGAGCTTTAAATAATTGTCTCTTTTTTGTCAAAGTCCACACAGGCGGGTTAAATTACTTTAGA